CATCCTTTATGTAGCTGGGATGGGATGATATATAACATAATAATATATAACACAACCAGAATCTGATCTGTGGCTGTGACGGTAATCTGGTGGTAGAACACAACCAGAATCTGCTGGAAAACATCATCTCCAGACCGCTTTCCTCATCTGGATTGTGTGTGTTTTCCTTCTGGTTCTCAGGAAGAAGCGTAAGACTGGGTCTGGAGACACAGTGAGGCTGAGGGACCTGCTGGAGGAGAGGGTGAAGGGGTCCATGGAAAAGCTGAAGAAGGAGAGAGATAAGGTGGGAGAACCAGCTCTGTTCAGACTGGACTCTGATGGGTTCCCCAGCAGAGACCCATCTGCATCAACCAGAACCAACCACAAACTTAGAAGCATGTGGTGGGAAAAGTTTCCACTTCCCCGTTAAATGCATCAAAAGGTGAAATGTGGAGGCTTTTACAAAAGGAAAGTGGAGATAAGTTTTCAAAAGCATTGCACAACTTTCAAATGTTTAAATTTTACTAGAGATTTCCCCGAAAAAACTGTGAGATGGCAGCAGTCGATAAAGTTTTACAACGGGTGTTGCCATGACGACGGGTGTTACCATGACGTATGAAAATAAATACCGTGAAAATAATAACCATTCACTGCATGAAGTGGTCTATGAAGGTTTCCCTTTTTGAATGGAATTCATTCAAATTCAACACCTTTCCCTGATGTGCTGCTCTGTGTACCAGTGTGAGCAGGACATCAGAGGGCAATGGGGGGGATATTGATCCAGAGCTGCTCCAGAGGATGTGTGTTTAAGACAGGTCTGCTGCACATACACACACACACTCTGAAGACAAGCCCACAAACACTGAAAGCCCAGCATGTTTCTGCCTGGATTTGAACCAGGGATCTATTGCGTGTAAAGCAAACGTGATGACCACTACACTACAGAAACTGCACTGAGGCCTTTTTCTCTGCTAAATAGTTTTTACTCAGTGCTCAGTACGTTTCTAGAAGGCAAAACCTCTTCTAGAAAACTTCACAAATTCAGAGACAAACACGTTTAACGAAGGCCACCGTCTGCATGGTCTACCCCACTGAACAATCTGAAGACTGCCCAAAACTGCACAACCAAACATGTTACTGCGCCCAAACTTAAGAATAAAAGAGGAAAATTACCATTAAAATGAGCCCATAATCAGATCAACCTTTTCTTTCACAAGCTCGTTCATTTGGATTGATCAATTTACACATCTGTGCTCTCACATTTGATCGTTTTAGTCACTGTTAATATTATGGTTTTTGTATTTAGTGGTGTGTCACTTTATATTTCGATGCCATTAAATCGAACAGCATCAGAAGGTGGAATCTGCTTCTACCCAAACAGAAATGGGGGTGGGGGGCTCTTCAGATCAGGTTTAAAGCTCAGACTGCAGGAACAGCCGTCATGACTGTTTTCTGGGAGTCTTTATCTCTGATTGGCAGCAGCTTTTTTTTTTCAGGTTTAAGAACTGAGAGTAAATGAGTCATTCCCTTAGTCTGCAGACTGTTGGTGTGTTGTTCTGCTGTAACATGATCCACACAGACACACCTATACAGGTAGAACTGGTTTCCACATTTTAACGTTCATGAACTTGACGGAGGCAACGTTTTCCTCTCAGGCGAAGCAGAATATGAAGGTAAATTATCAGTTTTTGTTCCTTCAATATGTTTTAGTGGCTAAAATCAGCTGTTTTAAACAGAAATCTGCATTAAATGATCCGTTCAAGTGTTCAATAAACAAACTTCAGCTCAGCTGAACTGAAGCAGAAGTGAATCCTCCATTTTATGAGGCATCTGATCTGCGGCTTCCAGAAGCAGAATTTACTGGAATAGAAACACACACATTTCTATTCACCTTGGGGGGATTTTTATAAACACTCTGAAAGAGAAAAAGGCTGAATATTGTGGATTTAACCTGGTGGGAGCAGGTTTTCCTCCACAAACTCAGCGTATTTTTGTTTCCCAACCCTTTCTAACAAACTCACGCCATTTCATTTCCTCATTTATTTTGGAGAGCTTGATCGTAATTCTGTGCAAACAGTCAAATAAATAAGTGTTTAAACTACAAATATGACATGTTCTTTTGTCGAGAACCACACTCATATACTTCCACCTAAATATATATTTATAGATTTTTGTGTGTGTGTGTGTGTGTGTGTGTGTGTGTGTATGTATATGCTGCAAATGTGTGGACGGATAAGGAGGATGTACTAAACTGAACTCCATGTTTCAGACAGGTGAACCAGCAGGTTCTACAGGTGAGGTGGAGCCCAGCAGAGCCGTCTGAAAGGCTGTGAATCCCTCAGTGTTTCCTGTTACGGTGGGATGGCGTCCTCCGGCTGTGTGTCTGAGCTGGTGTGTGTTTCCTCTGCAGATGCAGGTAGAAAGTGTGTGTGAGCTGGTGTGTGTTTCCTCTGCAGGTAGAAAGTGTGTGTGAGCTGGTGTGTGTTTCCTCTGCAGGTATAAAGTGTGTGTGAGCTGGTGTGACCTCAGCAGCATGGATCAGAGTGAGGAGCCTAAAGGCTCTCTGTGTGGGGAACATGAGAGCCAGAGCAGAGCTCAGAGGTGAGAGGACCATCTCTAACTGTCAGGGACTCTTCTCCATGTCAGAGCTCCCAGACTAAAGCATCTTTATTCACAGGAAACAACCAGGACCAGAACCACAACCCAGCTGCGTGTCCTTTAAAAGTGACTGGTCAATGGAGAGGCCTATTGATTTCAAACCAGATGTTCCATCAGGCAAACAGTGAGTAGCTGTCAGTGTTCAGAGGAGGCTGCTTCCTGTTTCAGATGAGAACCAGTTTTCACATGAACTTCTTCACACTTGGATCAGTTCTTGATGTCTCTGTGAGACTAATTCTAATGTGATGTTCTTAGTTGAGTCCTGCAGCTCTTTGTCCAAACAGAGGGAGAATATCACAGACCAGCTGTCCACAATGGAACAGTTCCTGTTCCTCAGCAGCCACACATACTCTCTGACAGGCCTCTGTTGTCACGGGACAAGGGAGCATTCTGACCCACACGCAGTAGCCACTCAGGAGACCAGAGACCTTTGAACAGATTTATTGAAACGGGGTACTGTGGTGCTGCAGGAGAGTGAGTTGTGGAGGGCTGGGAAGGTCCAAGTCCGGGCAAAGGGGTCAGGCTTCGGAAAACGCGAGCTGGAGCTGTTGGAGGGCAGAGAAATGGTGGCAGGCTGGGTCCCAGGTTGATGGAGGCTTGGCAAAGGGTAGCGGGCTGCTGGAGGGGGCTGAGCTGGATGCCGCAAGGAGAACACGCTTAGATTGACACTCAGGCAAGGAATGAATCACAGCCAGCTCCTTAAATAGTTTCTGCTCCTGATCAGCATAACCAGGTGCAGCTGTGCTGCACCGCCCTTCTGGTTCTTGAGGCTTCAAAATAAAATACAAACATATACATACTTCTAGGAAACCATGACATCTGTAGACTCAAAAACCATCACTGAGTACATTAGTTTGAAGAAAACAATTGTTTTTCTGTTAGGATCCTTCGGAGACTCAGACCAGGACCCGAACCTGGACCTGAATCTGGTCCTGGACCTGGATCTGGACCCAGCTGTATGTCCATGAAGAGTGACTGGTCAATGGAAAAACCCATTGAGTTCCAACCAGCCCATCCTCCATCATTCCAGAGGTGAGCTGTGTGTGAATGCTGTAACAGTGTAAATGTATCAGAATCAGTTTGAACAGTTTTATTCCAACAGGTGTTTAATGTGAGCTCAGCTCTGTTTCCATCATCTGTGTCTTCAGAAGTGAAGCTCTGTGTGCTTAATGTGTCCCTTAAGGTCTGTGGTCAAAGTGGACAGAATGGATGTTGGAGGAGGCCTTTGTGAGTGTGTGAAGGACAGCAGCTGGTCCAGCTGGTGTCCCCTTTGTGCTTTGGCTCTAACACAGTGGAGCTGGGAGCTTCCACTCAGTGGCAGCTGCTGCTGGATGGAGGAGGACACAAAGGAAAAGCTTTAGGTCTCAGTGGGACCAGCAGGACCTCTACAGGGAGTCCTCTGGTGGAGTGGAACATCCACACATCAGCTCATGGACCTTCAGCTTGTGTTTGTCTGTGTGTGGTCAGACAGAATGTGGGCTCATTCTTCCTGATTCCTCCACAGAGTGGAGCAGCAGAGCTCAGAGGTTCCCGGTGCTCCGTCTGCCCAGCAGCATCAAACACAGCTGGACTCCATCTTCATGGTCTGGACATGTTCTTTTCTGTTTCTTCTGTTTAGACATCTCCACGCTGCACTTTGTAGACCAGTGGTTTTTCAGAGTGTCCAACATGAAGCTGATGTTTGGCTCCATGCTTCAGTCTGATTGGATCATTCTGATCATGTTCTGTTCCAGCTGCTGGAGGACAACATGCTGACTTTTGTGAAGGAGGAGCTGAAGAAGATCCAGAAGGCTCTGAGTCCAGATGACCCACAATGCTTAGACAGTCAGAGGGAGGATGAGGATGCAGAGCAGAGGAGCAACAGAGAGGCATTAGTGAAGATCACAGTGCACTTCCTGAGGAGAATGAAGCAGGAGGAGCTGGCTGAGCGTCTGAGGAGCAGTAAGAGGATTTCTCTGAGGGTTTAACCTTCTGGAGAAATGACACATTTATTCAGTTATCAAGACACTCATTCTTTACATGGTCAAATGTTTATTTCATAATGTTATCTGTTGTCTTCATTCAGAACATTCTGCTGCAGTTTGTGGACGTGATCATAAATCTGCTCTGAAGGAGAAGTTCCAGTGTGTGTTTGAGGGCATTTCTAAAGCAGGAAAACCAACCCTTCTGAACCAGATCTACACAGAGCTCTACATCACAGATGGGGGGCGCTGCAGGGCTCAATGAGGAACATGAGGTCAGACAGATTGAAGCAGCATCCAGGAAAACACACAGACCAGAAACAACCATCAGACAGGAAGACGTCTTCAAAGGCCCACCTGGAAGAGAGCAGCCAATCAGAGCAGTTCTGACAAAGGGGGTGGCCGGCATTGGGAAAACAGTCCTGACCCAGAAGTTCACTCTGGACTGGGCTGAAGGCAAAGCCAACCAGGACATCCACTTCCTGTTTCCCTTCACCTTCAGAGAGCTTAACGTGCTGAGGGGGAAACAATTCAGCCTGCTGGGACTCCTCCATCACTTCTTTCCTGAAACCAAAGCAGCAGGAGTCTGTAGCTCTGCAGAGTTCCTGGTTGTGTTCATCTTTGATGGTCTGGATGAGAGTCGACTTCCTCTGGACTTCCTCCACCAGGAGCCTCTGACTGACGTCACAGAGTCCAGCTCAGTGGACGTGCTGCTGACCAGCCTCATCAGGGGGAAGCTGCTTCCCTCTGCTCGCCTCTGGATCACCACACGGCCCGCTGCAGCAAATCAGATCCCTGCTGACTGCGTTAGCATGGTGACGGAGGTCAGAGGCTTCACCGAGGAGCAGAAAGAGCAATATTTCAGGAAGAGGTTCAGAGAGAAGAGCCAGGCCAGCAGCATCATCTCCCACATCAGGAGCTGCCGGAGCCTTCACATCATGTGCCACATCCCGGTCTTCTGCTGGATCTCTGCTACAGTTCTGGAGAAAATGCTGAGAACCAGAGAGGGGGGACAGCTGCCCAAGAGCCTGACTGAGATGTACATCCACTTCCTCGTGGTTCAGGCCAAAGTGAAGAGGGTCAAGTATGACGGAGGAGCTGAGACAGATCCACACTGGAGTCCAGAGAGCAGGGAGATGGTTACGTCTCTGGGGAAACTGGCGTTTGATCAGCTGCAGAAAGGAAACCTGATCTTCTATGAATCAGACCTGACAGAGTGTGGCATCGATATCTCAGCAGCCTCGGTGTACTCAGGAGTGTTCACACAGATCTTTAAAGAGGAGAGCGGGCTGTACCAGGACCGGGTGTTCTGCTTCGTCCATCTGAGCGTTCAGGAGTTTCTGGCTGCTCTGCATGTCCATCTGACCATCATCAGCTCTGGAATCAACCTGCTCAAAGAACAACAAACACCCTTTATCAGGTTTAATAGGTTCTTTAAACCAAGTCTCCAAGAGCTCCATCAGACTGCTGTGAAGGTGGCCTTAGAGAGTCCAAATGGACACCTGGACCTGTTCCTCCGCTTTCTCCTGGGTCTTTCTCTGGAGGCCAATCAGAGGCTCCTACGAGGTCTGCTGACACAGACAGGAAGTAGCTCACAGACCAATCAGGAAACAGTTCAGTACATCAAGGAGAAGCTGAGTGAGGATGTGTCTGTAGAGAGAAGCATCAACCTGTTCCACTGTCTGAATGAACTGAATGATGGTTCTCTGGTGGAGGAGATCCAACAGGCCCTGAGTTCAGGAAGTCTCTCCACACATAGACTGTCTCCTGCTCAGTGGTCAGCTCTGGTCTTCGTCTTACTGTCATCAGAGAAAGATCTGGATGAGTTTGATCTGAAGAAATATTCTGCTTCAGAGGAGGCTCTTCTGAGGCTGCTGCCAGTGGTCAAAGCCTCAAAGAAAGCTCTGTGAGTACAGACACAGATTGATCTCTTTTGAAGTAGGCACTTATTAGCTGGATACAAACAGCAGAGTCATAGTCAAACTCGGTTTCAAGGAAACTGCACTTTATTTATAAGTTCAAAAGAATCTTACAGATGTTATTTGTCACATTGATAAGCTTCCATATCATCTCAAGTCTGATTATTAATATATTTCAGACACAGGCAGAATTGTGTTTCTTGAACAGACAATATTCTTTAACAGCATGGACAGAAAGTCTCCATATGAAAATCATGACTTTCAGTCACAACGTCATCATTATATCTGAGCATTGCTGTTGGTCTTTGCATTTTTGAATATAGAGGTTTCTGCTATAATTCATTGGTGATTTTTCTTAACCTTGTTTTCATGAGCATAGAAGTGATATGAAAATCTACAAAAGCTGTTTGACTGACTGATTATCTAATCCATTTATATCTCTCTTCTCAGACTCAGAGGCTGTAATCTCTCAGAGAGAAGCTGTGAGGCTCTGTCCTCAGTTCTCAGTTCTCAGTCCTCCAGTCTGACACATCTGGACCTGAGTAACAACGAGCTGGAGGATTCAGGAGTGAAACATGTTTCTGCTGGACTGGAAAGTCCAAACTGCAGACTGGAAACACTCAGGTCAGAACTGGATGAACAATGACTTTTCCTTCCAGAAAGTGAAGTTTAGGATTCTGAAGCAGAAAATATGCTAATACGAGCAGCTTTGTTTGGGAATTTAGCAGAACAAATACAAATTTGTGCTCTGTGTTTTATGAAAAGATGCAGACAGATCAGCCGCAGGTTAATGTGAATCTAGCTGAGATTTTAGATGCAGAGTTTTTGTGGAGACTAAAGATTGAACCATTTTCCTGTGACATCACATGTTCATATAGTAGGTTGCAGAAATGCTAAATATGTTTGTAGTTTGTTATGCAAACAGGCACCCCCGTATTTTTTATTAATACTTGAATCATCCTAACATGTATTGTCACATGACCTCCCACGTACAAGAAAACACAGAGTTAGGTCAGTACTTGGCTATGTTTACGGCTGTGGATTCACCAGGAAAATAGCTACCTAGTTCGACACATGGCCTCTGAACTAAAGCAGATTGAGCATGAGGAGCACGCTAACGGTGGTCCTCTCCTTGTTGATCCACAGAGTTAGCCTCTGTATAACTTGGTTACACAGTGCTCCATAGCCTGTGCAGCCCTTGCTGCTGGCCCAGATTCCCCTAGGTCTGGTACCGCTAACACTCAGTGTGCTGCCTGTTCTCATTCCTCCTTTAACATGACCACTTTCACAATGTTTGAACCTCTGCTGCAGTTTGAAATGTTCAAGTTGATCCTCCAGATTGGTTCAGACTAAAAACTTCTGACAGGGTCTAATAGACTGATGTCATTGGTCAGATTGCTGACTGAGTGCTTTGGAGCCATCATCAGATCAACATGTGATAACATCCAGCTTCAGTCTCAGAGCAGCTCTCAGAGTTTCTGTGTTGTTCTGTGTGTTGCAGCCTGTCCAGCTGTTGGATCTCAGAGGAAGGCTGTTCTTCTCTGGCCTCAGCTGTGACCTCCAACCCCTCCCATCTGAAAGAGCTGGACCTGAGCTCCAACCGTCCAGGAGATTCAGGTGTGAAGCTGCTGATGGCTGCTCTGAAGGATCCACACAAACTCAGGTATGAAGAGTCCTGCTGCAGCCACCAGCTCTGATAGGAGGGGGAGGAGCTGGAGACAGGTTCTGTTTCAGTTAGCTCTCTGTGTGTTTCAGAATGGAAGAGGAAACTCACCACATGCTGATTTAAAGCTGTAGATTATTTGTTCTCACTCAAAAGCTTTAATGAAAATCAGTGATCTCAACATTTTTAAAAAATCAAAGACTCTAAAAACTCTGGATCCTGACACGCTGCCAATGAGTCACTTTAGTTAATATAGGATCAGAAATTAATGGAAGCCTGAGAAACTGAGAGGATTTCTTATGTTAGTGTGTGAACAGTCACAATTCACAATGCTGTTTTTTAAAGAAATCATCTCTCCAACTGTAAACAGACTTTTAGTTAAAAACCAACAAACAAAGGCGTTTTCTGAAGCAGACATTTTCATTCTGACCTGTGATCAGATCAGACTGACAGACTGGAGATTTCTTCAGTCTGAATGGAACAGCATGTTTCTCTGTTTATCTGCTGAATGACATGAAATAATGACTAAACAATTTAAAGTGCTCAGGTCTGAGAGGCTGAGGAGAATTACTGTGTCACATCAAAGTGAGATGAGATGAACCTCAGATGAAGAACAATGTTGGTCAGATCACATTCATTTCACATCAAATTATTTCCATCCAGATGTTTAGTTACAGTTTGTGCTGACTCTGTGTTTCCAGTGTGGATCAGCTGATATGATTCTGGCTTCCTTTCCATGTTTTCTATTTCAGACTTGCAGACTGTGGACTGTCAGAGAGTGTCTGTGAAGCTGTGGCCTCTGCTCTAAAGTCCAGCCCCTCCCATCTGAAAGAACTGGACCTGAGTAGAAACATGCTGATGGATTCAGGAGTGAAACATCTTTCTGCTGGACTGGAAAGTCCAAACTGCAGACTGGAAACTCTGAGGTTAGTTCACTCTGTGAGCTTTTCTGGTTTCCTGATGATAAAGACTCACAGAGCTAATAACCAGAAGAGGGGAACTGGGCAAAACCCGGATTAAGAGAGAGGAACAAGAAACTAACATAACTGGCCAAAAATGAGGAAGTCAAACCATGAGTGGAACTATAAAACACAACTAAGACCAGACGTATACGGACAGGGAAACAGAGAATAACTTCAAACAACAAGGAGAAAACAAGCTTAACAAGATACAAACTGGGTACATAAAACAGAGAGAAACAATAAACCCAGGAAAAAAATAACAAATGAATGTAGGCAGGACAAAGATAATTCTATTCTGTGTTACTCTGACTTTCACTACAAGAACTTTAAACTAACTTAACTTATTTATTTGTATTTAATTTTCAGATTATATTATTTTTTCTATGACGCCAAATGTAGAAAATTTACTTTGGGTGTGGAGTCGAATATTTGATCAAATTTTACTTCATATGTTGGAAAATCCGTATGTTGAGGCTTCATAAGTAGAGGTTCTGCTGTAGTTTGATTCAAATGAATCTACATGATATGTTCTTTCTTAGGCTGGTCTTCTGTGGTCTCAGCTCTGAAGTCCAACCCCTCCCATCTGACAGAACTGGACCTGAGCTGGAACCCCATCTCTGAGTGTGTGATGAAGGAGCTGAGCAGCTTTCTGCAGAGTCCACTCTGTGGACTGAAGACTCTGAGGTCAGACTCCAGGTTTTAGTGGTTAGTTCAGATCAGAGGATGAGCTGAAAGCTATGCTGCTCTTCATGGTAAAGTCTTCAGCTCACAGATTTTGTTCTTTATTCAGATTGGAGCTTTGCTGGTTGTCAGACCAGCTGAATGTAATTGGACCCACAGTCACATCTGTCACTCACAGTCACTTTGAGTGCTTTTGGCTTTGGTACTGGTTTTATTGACAAAGTTAAGGTTCTTTACAGTGACATTCAGAGCGTACTAAAGATTAATGGTGGTTTGAGCGCTCCTTTTCAGGTCCAAAGGGGAATTAGGCAAGGGTGTGCCCTCTCTGGCATGTTATATTCTTTAGCTTTTGAACCATTGCTGCATAAACTCAGACGTGACCTTCAGGGTTTGGTCATTCCGGGTTGCAATGTACCTTTGAAGCTGTCGGCCTATGCAGATGACCTTATCATCCTGGTGAATGCTCAGAAGGACATTGACATGTTGGTGAGAGATGTAGCTCAGTTTGGCACCTTGTCCTCAGCCAAAGTTAACTGGGACAAAAGTGAAGCTCTGTGTGTTGGTGGCGACCTGGGGAAACTGACACTGCCTGGGGGGTTAATTTGGAAGAAGGGGGGTCTTAAATATTTAGGAGTTTTTCTGGGCGATCAATCTTTTGGCTTAAAAAACTGGGAAAATGTTCTGGATAAGGTGAAGGGTCGTTTGACCCGGTGGAAATGGATTCTGGCAAAGATGTCTTACAGAGGCAGAGTGTTAGTGGTTAATAATTTGGTTTCGTCCACGTTATGGCATCGCTTGTTATGTATTGACCCCCCACCTGACCTACTGTCGAAGATCCAGGCTCTCCTTGTGGACTTTTTCTGGGACAAATTGCACTGGGTGCCACAGAGTGTGCTGTATTTGCCTAAGGACGATGGAGGACAGGGCCTGATCCACCTCAGCAGCAGGGGGGCTGCGTTCCGGCTCTAGTTCATACAGAGGTTTCTGTGTGGTCCAACTGATTTGGTGTGGAGGCCGTTGGCTTGCGCTATCCTGAATCGTTTAGGTGGACTTGGACTCAACAAATCGTTGTTTTTGATGGACTTAAAGCAGCCTAACATTAAAGAACTTCCTGCTTTCTACCGTGGACTATTCAAAGTGTGGAATATGATCTTGAAGAGGAGGCTGGGACACCACAGCTCCCTGTACTGGCTGCTACAGGAACCGGTCGTCTATGGGTCGCGGTTCAGTACAGTTTGTCAGGTGGGGCCAACTCTACTCAGGCGGTTCTGTATGTCTAAGGTGGTGAATCTGGGACATGTAGTCCAGCTTGCAGGAGCAGGCTTGGACGATGCAGCTTCTCTTGCTTCCAGACTGGATGTGCATTCGACTTGTGTCATTGCCCTTCTGCTTAGTAAGTTGAGAGAAGCCCTCACTGCTAGTGAGAGGACTTTGTTACATCTTTATTGTGATGGCTCTGTTGCACCGGATGAGAATGATACTTTCCCTACAGTGAATATTTCCCCAGATTTTAAGGACTGCATTGGGCCCTTTTTAAAAAATGAGATCTCTTCTGTGTTTTCCTTTAAAGATATAAACGGTAAGTTGATCTATAAAACTTTTGTTAAGATTTTGCAGAGGGACAAATTGAACGGCAGAGCTGATACTCCATGGAGAGCTCACTTGGGTCTCAGTGACAGTGTTGGGCCTGAGTGGAGAGCGCTGTACAAACCACCACTGATTAAGCGAGTAGCTGACCTCCAGTGGAGGATTTTACATGGGATTGTGGCTGTGAATGCTTTTATTTCTACTATTAACTCTGATGTTAGCCAGGACTGTCCATTTTGCACTAATCGCGAGACTGTGTTTCATTGTTTCTTGGACTGTTCTCGTTTGCTGCCACTGTTTACCATGTTAGAAAATGTTTTTGAATTATTTGGAGAGGGTTTTTCTACAAACGTGTTCATTTTAGGGTACAGGTACTCTCAAAAGGCAAAAATGAAATGCCAGCTTTTTAATTTCATCCTGGGAAGAGCAAAGATGGCTGTTTATATGAGCAGAAAAAACAGAATAGAAAAAGCTGTGGATGACGATGCTGTGCTCGTTTTGAAAAAGATGGTCAAAGCCCGTCTGAAAATAGATTTTAATTTCTATCGCATGATGAAGGACCTGGAAAGCTTTTCCAAATTGTGGTGTCAGAAAAATGTTCTGTGCTGGCATTTAAATGAGGAGCTTTTTTTTGGAGTTATCCTAGGTTAATTTGTTTTCTGTAAATCCTGATTTACTGATTGCCGTTTCATGGCAGTTTTTTTGTAACTTTTAAAACCTTTTAATAAATGTATTGTTAAAATTCAAAATTCTCTCTCTCTCTCTCTCTCTCTCTCCCTCTCTCTACTCTCTGTTTGCTTGTGTTTGCTCCACAGGTTTGGTGGCTGGACGAAGAAATCCTCCAGAGACAAAAGCTGTGAGTGCCTGTCCACAGCCAGTGTTAACGGGGGAGTCTGTGCCGCTCGGGGTCATTAGATGGCACACTGTGGAGGCTTTATGGAAAATAAGTCCAGCCTGCAGGAAGGGGGATGGGTGGGGACTGGACTCTGATTGTGGAGGGCAGCGGAAAGGATCACAAACAGGATATAACTCTAATTGGGCAGTTTGAAGAGGGAAAAAGCTGTCTTAGCTTCAGCTTTGATGTAACTGCTGAAGTTCAGGTCTGAGTCCAATCAAATTCCAGGATTCTTTATCAGGGATTAAGTCTTAAAACCTCTGGAATTACACAAAGAATCAAAAGCTCAAACTCTTGTGTTTGCATGTTTGAACAGTGTTTGAGGAGAAAAGCCATTCGGGGCCAGACTGTCGGGTGTCACTCCTCTAATCCACCCAGAGTCAGATCAGAGTCTTCAGTCCTAAAACATGTCAGCCTGATATCATGTTTAAACCACCAGCCAATAGCTGTTTGACTTAAGATTTTGATCTTCATTTCTCTGCTTTTCTTTAAGGTCCCAGACGGGAATCTTCATAAAGGGATTTCCCAGGACTCCAAGCAGAGGACAGACTGTCTGCTGTCCGGGTGCATTAATGGAGTCTCTGATTCTGTGCTGAACCAGCTGCTGGATAAACTCCTTCAGCACGGTGCTATGATTAATGAGGAGATGCAGACAGCAAAGACGAAGCCCAGAGCAGAGAAAGCTCGAGATGTGATTGATACTCTGATGAGGAAGGGACATGAAAGCAGCAAAACTCTGATAGAGGCTCTCAGGGAGGTTGACCCCTGCCTTTCCAGAGAGCTGAAGCTGTGGTGAGGGGCCCAAACCCGGACAATGGAGGCTGGTGGAGGTCTACAGCCACTCGGGGACTTTTGCACAACTTTGGCTCTGGGATGGGGACTTGTGTAGGATCGCCCAGAACCTGAGTCTTTGAAAAAGAGACGGATTTAAATTCAATTCAATTTTATTTCTGTAGCTCCAGATCCCATCAACAGGTATCTCCCAGCTTTCCAAACAGAGCAGCTCAGACTCTCTGAGTTATTTACATTCCCACCAAGAGCAGCACTAGGACACACAGGGAAGGAAAAACTGCCTTTAGGAGGAAGAACCGTGGGGGGTTGAGAGACAGAGAGGGCAAGAGAGAGAGAGACAAGGACAGAGAGAGGTAGCCTTCACAGTAACACATTGACTGGACTCCACAGCTCTAGGAACACCTGCAGGAAGTGATAGGAGGAGAGAAGAGGGTGGCGAGAAAGCACACGACTACGGAGAGGGGAGAGAGTCCAGTTAGTAACATTGTTAATGAAATGAGGTGGGGAGCTCGCACCTCATTCCATCATGGGAAATCCCCTGGCAGTCTGAGCCTATAGCAGCACAACTAGGGGTGGACTTACCCTAACTATAAGCTCTATCATAAAGGAAAGTCTTAAGCCTACTCTTAAATGGTGTCTGCCTCCCGGACCCAAACTGGAACCTGGTTCCACAGGAGAGGACTTCACCACTGGGTCATCCCTTCCAGCATTCAACACTGTAATGAAGAGATCTTCATTACTGAGACTATTTTACACTTATAGCACTGTATGGCACTTAAAAAGGTATTTTTGCACTTTATTTAGCATTTGCACTTTAAGCAGAGATTTGCACAACAATAAATTTGCACACAAGAAGGTAATATTTATTGAGCATTGTGTGGCCTTTGTTTTGGGCTCTGCATGGCTGCTCCTCATTGGTGGGTGAGGTTAATTGCTGTTGCCTGTGGAGGAGCATAATTGTTACTCAGAGCAATGAGCTAAGGGTGAGGAAAAACTAAACAAATGTGTGCATAATCTGTTGAGTGTGGAGTGCTGTGGTAAAGTGACTCACCTGTCTTTTCTGCGTCCTCTCCAGGGTGTTTTGGACAAATTCTACCCCGGGGGTCCAGACGCCATATATAGATTCTGGGAGAGGCCATTGAAAGGACTAGGGGGGAATTGTTTGTGGGTTTTGTAGTGTTTAAGGTGTAATGATAAAATAGAAAATATTTATAAAAAGTCAATGGAAGTAGTGTATTTAATAAAATGTAGTTTAGGTAAATAGGTGGAGATTGATTAAGAGATCCCCCTGTGAATTTAATATGGTTTGGTCCATCACAGCTGGGACTATTTAAGACTGCAGTTTCAGCTGTGAAAGTGTTGTTGATGATGAGTGAAAAATAAACTGCTGCTGTTCTCCACCTGACTCTGGCTCAAGACTCGTGCTCACTAACAACAAATCCAACCGCTAAAGGCCGTCCTGTTACAAACACGTTTCCAGACATTTCTAGAATGATCTGTAACTTGGAGTCTGAATCAGACACATCAGACCATGCTGACCTGGAAAGAAAAGCCAGTTTTGTAGATAACTAGGCCTGTAGTCTTTCTCACCTTCATCAGATGATCTTCAGCTGTCCTTTCTCTCTTTCTCGTCTCTCTCTTTATTACCAAAAAACGGTGTGAAGCCTGAAAGCATTGCTTCTGTGTATGTGTTGGAATCACTGTACATAGGTTATCATATAAAATGGAGGACTCCTGTACTCCAGGTTCTTTTCGTATCTATCATTTTAAACCTCTTATTATCAGAACATTATGAACTTTTGTGTGGGAATGAATAACCAATGTGCTTGTGTAAGCAGATTTGAATAACCAGGTGCAGCGTCTACAGCAAAACAGCAGCTGAGAGCAGAAGTTTGAGAAGGCCAAGATCCTTTGTTGTCACCCATTGAGGCGCCTGACTGTACCACGATAAGGAGCTTGGATATAATGTTGGATACAATGTAATATTCAGCTACACTTGCGTGCAGCCTGTGTGATCTCATCCCTTAGAGGCTTCACGTCCATGTAACGTAGGGAACATTCCTTAATAAAAAGAGAGGAGGCAGCGGAGTCTGGTAAGAGTATGGTGGAGATTGTAAAGGCTCCGCAGCTCTCCTTGCAAGTCTAAAGAGTAATGTCTTTGAGTCTATTTTCTCCTGCATTGTGTTTTTAATAATGTTTTGGATTTAACCCTGACAGTATGTACGGATTAACTTTCATCTCAGCCTACAATAATGAAAACCATAGCAAAAAGGCAGCTCTGTGGATTCACTGTTCTGCTCTACGCCTTTTTATTTGTATCTTTTCTCATCATTAAGGTTATTTTTCAGGTTTTAAGCCTTTTGTAGCATTTTGTGTGCTGTGTTTTGGGGCTCAGCAAGTAGACTGTGTTTAATAAATTCCATCCTCATCAGAATAATGTTGTGGTGTTGCTGGTGCTGACCTCTGACACTGACTCTTAGGGAACCACTGAGCTCACACAGTGTTTTAGTGGTTTGAATGAAACCATTGACAGGAGAAATCAGGGTGTTTATAGTTTTTATAGAAGTTGCCTGTATGCTGTGGACTGAGCAACAAGAAAATCACCTTCCTTCAAGCCGGAATTGAACCAGGAACCTAAGGATTTCTGTCATTGAACATCTACAGTCCTCCGCTCTACCAGCTGAGCTATCGAAGGGATGCTTGTCATATTACCGCTGTGTGACTGTGTGATGCCATTGTGGCCGTTGTGATGTCAGCCTGTAGTTTCTGAAAGTAAGTGAAGCTGCTCTGACTTTGTGAAAGACCTTTTACAATCAACACAAAGTGACTTTATAGCCTTATCAATTATGCCACGTGGTCCCACATACAAAGGGTCAGCTGCAGTGGCGGCCGGCCCATAGGGGGCGCTCGGGCGCCGCCCCCCCCCATAGATGTGGAGGGGGAAAGTAATAATATATATATTCATATATATATTTTTTTTAAAGTATTATCAATGTCAGTTTTACTTAATAGTATGTGGTTACATGTAATATGAATTATTAAAACAACACTACAACCAACTGACTCTCATTCAACAGTGCATTTCCACCCTCAGAACATATCGTTTCTCTTCTGGGGCGCTAGCCCCAAGCGCACCAGAAGTGCAGCGAAATAACCAATTGAAAAATGTTGCTAGGGAAGATGAATAAATATTTGGCCAATCAGCATCGCCGAAATTATTGGCTTTGGGGCGCCTGGAGCTGGCGCCCCAAAGCCATAGACGTATAGCTAGTGGTCAGTCAGGCTGTGACGTAGAGATGACGGCGACGGCAACAGTTGAAGAGCAGCTTTCACACAATTCAGTGAGATATTTACCCTTTCGTGAGAAGGACAATGGTGGAAAAATTAAATGTAAAGGAGCTGGGACCTGACAGCCCGAAATACATTTAACGCAACGAACCAATGAAAAAGCGAAGTCCTACAGCCGGCCTTTAACAGAAGCTGGTTCCAGCGTGAGTCCTGGCTGACAGCCGGTGGGACGGCCAATGCACTTTTATGTTTTTCCCGCATCCTTTTAAAAGTGACCGGAGTGATTTGACGTGGACACAGTCTGGACAGACAAACTTAGAACACATATCTGAACAATTAAGAAACATGAAATATCACGAGTTCATATGGAAAACTGTGTTAAGCTAACCGTTTTAAGCTAACCACCTGTGTGTCTACTTTGTGTGTTTGGTGACAAATAGTAACATTGAGTGTTGTATTTCATACTGTTCCTTTCCAAAATAATAGCTAATATAGCTTCAAATGGTTAACTGTATATGTAAACTGCTGATTCTGATAAGGGAATTAAATCATTATTGTGGAATTGTAGTAATTTTACGACTTTTAACTTGAATGCATGTACTGGGTTAGGCAGGGAAATATATT